TTTATTTATTTATTTTCCACTCATATTTTCCCATGTTTTTGTTGGTAAAATTGAGCCAATGAGAATTATTTACATGGGTGATTCTTGTAACTGTTTCTACATCCTGGTCACTTCACACAAGTCATTCCCAAACTGGGTTCCAGGATTCTCTGAGGCTCTTCAGTAATTCCTGTAGATGAAATTGTGCCACGCTGATAAAAGTACAGGTATCGTGCCAAGCTGTGCCATAAAACAATTATTGCTCAATCAAAGGTTGTCCTCCCACGTAAGCTCTGTGCTGGTGGCTCTGATTGCATCACATCAAGATAATAATCACTGGTCACATGGATTAAAAAAAAATTTAAAAAAAGATGACAGACCGATGTTCATGTTGACATAAACATGTAGCAGACTGAAAGTCTGTTAACTATGAGCTCGTTTGTATTTGGACTTGTTTTTATTTTCCTGACATTTTTCCGACCCTCTGACTGCTACAGAGCTCTGGTCTTCTTTTATGCAAAGTTTATTCATGTGTGTGTCTAAATTGCACCAAAGGTGCCGACTGTGCACTTCCCTGGGCCGTTTAAAATACACACGCCTAGTGTGAAACCTGTGTTAAAAACTGCAGAAACTCTGATGCATACAGTAATCAGTAGTTGTTATTATTTTCACTTTCTTCATTACAAAGGGACCTTGTTTACTGTGATCTGTGATGATCAGTGTCGGGAAAGTTCCAGGAAACACAACAAAGTGTGGCTACATGAGCTCTTCACTTTTTGCCACAGAGTATAGTAGTATTTGATCAATTTAATTGTATTGGTTATATAAAAACATTGTTTTACCACACATCAGTGGAGAACAGCTTTTATTTTTGTAAAAGAATTATAAAAAAGATTATATGGAGTAGTTGTATGTGTATATGCAGATTATTCCAGTAACTTTATAAAGTCACATTAGTAACAAACATAATAATTTTGTTCAGGATAACAACTATCAGCATTTTGGTTGATTAGCTCTGCCATTTTAGTTAGTCTTCTTTCTCCACTGAAGTTTTTGCCATCTGTGCTCCATGAACAGACGTCAGTTTCGCACAGCTTCCGAGTGACCTACTCTCTGTCAGACACTCCGGGTAATGGAGTTGATAAACTGCGTGTGGGCGAGTTTCTGCTTATTTGTCACTGATCCAGCCCAACTCACAACTCCACTTCCGAGTTCCTGCCGCTGACCTCTTCCCCCTCCTGTTGCCGAATGCTCGCCACATCCTTCCGCCCACCTACCCCCCCTCCATTCCCTACCAGATTCTCACTACCTCCTGGGCCGGCTCACTGCCTGCCAGCCTCCGGTGGAAGCCTTGCCAGAGGAGGTTGACTCACAGTGAGTCATCAACTTCACTGTCTTCGTCCTCGCAAATGTCACAAATACATGAACCCAGTCATTGATTGTGACATGAAAACAAAGCACTCAAGTGAAGGGTTAATGTTTGCAGGAGATAATCATGCAGCACAGGATGGAAACAAAGTTGTATCTTACTGTACCGTTCACTGTACATCTGGCTGAGAAATGATATAAGCATTAGCCCTTAGATGCTATAACATCATCTAATTTGGATTCACAATAACATTCTTGTTACATACTCAGTTTCTGCGTGTAACTACATCAGATAAATAAATGAAATAGATTCTAATTTCCACATTCTTAAAGGGGAGTTATTGATTGTCAGTATCGACTTGGCAGATGAAACTCAGTCCCTCGTTAATGATGACTCACTGGTTTACAGGGCACAGTTCGCAACAATTGCTCACTGCCTCTGTTTTGACAGCTGTGTCAAAACTAACTTTTCACTGTCACCCGAGGATTGACCTGTAACTTGCCTTGACATGTTGCATGATGTACAATACAGTGATTTTGTGTTTTCTTGAAAAGAATTTCAAGGTGGACCAAAAATGATATATTGTCATTAAAACATTTTTGTCATTATTTTACAAAATTCTGTGGTGTCACTGAAACAACATGATGAAAAGCACATATTTCTGTATATTTGGCTCCCATTAGTCAAATACTGAATAAAACTTGATCATCTGCGCGACAGACCTCTGTTGTGTTGCAGAATCTTTGATTACGGTGCTGATGGCCACAGCTGCATTATTATTAATCCATTGCAGATGCACTATTTACTGCTGTCTGTCATTTTCAAAAAGGTTTCAGTGTCTGTTTGTTATATGCTTGTTATGCCTACATACCACTGCCCGGAGGCAGTATGTGTCCGGGCAGTCTGTTCGTTCCATTCTAGTGAATGCCCTGAGGGAGTTTCTTCAAATTCATTATATGATCGTTCATTTGGACTCACAGATGACCTGAATAGAATTCATGGGTCAAAGGTCACAGTCTCCTCATGAGTGTGGAAAACATATGTTTGTAGACTGAAACTGCTTTGGTTTGCAGATGCATACAATTGAAATGTGATAATTCTAGTTAATTTAATGAACTCATCATCAAGCTATTTTCAAATCCTTTCTTAAATTTTTTTAAATCCAGGTATCCAGTGGGATTGTAAGTGATTGCCAGCGAGCAGCTTGGAAATTCAGAAAGTATTGAAATTCTAACGCATTGTTGGTTTTGTGATTTATTTATTTT